ATATATGTACAATAATTTTTATTTCTTGATGCCTTGTTTACGTTTTATTTAAAATTACTTCTTCTTTTCTTTAAATTAGTTAATTTTGACAATGTATATTTAACTATAAAGGTTTTTTGTTGCCCACTACATCGAAAGGATTGTTTTGAGATAATATTACAATAGGACAATATTGGTGATAATTATTTTACACTTTTCACGATATACAAAGGCAACTTCTTTCGATACTTTAGAAACAAATATATCGAAAAGTATAATTCGCGAACACTAAAAAGAAAAAAGTTATTGGTATATCGATATATTGTATCAGTGTACATTTAAAATGTAAAGAGAACAATCCCGGATTCTCTCTGAAATTTCTTTATTTTCCATCTATTTTTCTCTATCGTCCTAAGGATCTAATATACTACACGTCATTCGGTGAACACTGATAGGTCACTGGCCAACTTTATGTCTTTTGTTCTGCGATTAAGTACACACATTTCTCGCCATGGAGACCCCATTTTTTTCTCTCCACAGTCATACCGATTAACGATCATCTTCAACACGCCTCGTAATCGGAATCCGTGACGACGATCCCGACGATAAAAAAAAAGAAAGTTTCGACGATTACTAATCAACACTAAAGTTTTGTAGCTAGAGCATGAAAAGGTCTATGAAAACGTGTCACTCGTGTTGCCACACACTCGAGCCAGTCCTCGACGAAGTCACTCGACACTTCGCTCGGAGCGCGAGGCGCCTCTCGCCCTTATTGGACCGCGATGTCTCAGTTGTAGAGCATCGCCGAGGGCAATACGTACGACGACATCGAGTAGAGCATCGACGCGTACCAGTGAACGCCCTCGCCCCGTCCCGTCGTCGGCTCCGTTCTGGACGCGTTGCTGGGTCTCGCCACTTGTCGCGGCTCGCCCAACCTCTGCACGAAGAAGGACGCCACGCTGTGCCAGAGCCTCAACGGCAGGAAGGAGTAATGCGCCACCGACTGACTGTTGACGACGGCGTAGCAGGACGCGACGACGTCGTCCACCACGAGGGTGCCCTCCATCGTGAGCGGGGCGTAAACCCCCTCCTCGAGGACCAGCTTCGTCTCGACGACGGTGTCCCACCGCAGCTGGCTGTCCACTTCGTTGGTCACGCCAGCCGCACCGGTGTGATCACTCACGATGATGCGGTCGCCGGGTTGCACACTGGCGGCGAACACCGATGACCGACCCTCGACCGGCACCAGATGTGCCGGCGTCAACGTGAGAACGCGGCCGGACTTGGTCGTCAAGCGGATGAACTGTCTCCTCTCGGACGGGGAACGATCCAGGAAGGCGATCACCTCGCTGTACACGACGTCGCCACGGGATCCAGGGCGGCGATACGCTCGCCGAGACGGACCTCGTCCAGCCTCTTCGTGCCGCCGTCCTCCGTTCGGACCAGACTCTTCCCGGGGAAGCAGCCACCGGACTTGCCCGCTGAAGACGATTCTGAAAGTGAAACGTGCAGACAAATAAGACAAATACATTTTAAAAAAACTCTATTATTATATTATTAAATATATTATTATATTATTAAAATAAAAAATTAAATATATTAAATATATTAAAATAAAATAATACTAATTTATAGTCTCTCCTCCCTCTCTCTGAATATGACAAAGCAAGACGTTATTAAAATCATATTACAGGAAGAAATATGATAAAAAAATATGGAATGCTTTTAGCGAATTTATAAAATATAATAAAATTTCGAGAAAACAAAATGTTATTTCACTTAATTTTTCTGAAATGTGCTATGAATATGAAAATTTAAGAGGATTATTAACATGAAGTAGATAATAATATATGTGTCGTTTCTCGTTTATGCCTGTGATTGTTTGCTAATTAATTAGTGTGATTAATATACGATAATATGAATATAATGAAAATTGGCGGAGCGTTAAAATCGCGACACGCGTGGATTGTATTCGATCTTTTTGTCGCACACTTCGGATCCCCGCCACCCTATTGTTTCCCTTTTCGTTCCCCTCAATATCGCCTCGTATCGGTTTCGCGCCAATTTTTATGCTCGGTTTTAATCCGGACCGACAGGCACGCCTTGATTTATCGGCATTTATTTTGAAATTCGAGACCCAACCGTGGCCTGGAACGAACACGAATCGCTGATTGCTCTCGTGCAGGTAAATATTGCTGGATCGAAAGAGAAAGTAGACGTGTGAGACGAGGTTTTCTCTCGTGATTAAGAATTACTTTATTCAATGGGACATTTCGTTTTTTAAAAAAAAAAAAATCATAATTTTGAACATATTAAAAAATTGGCAGTGCTATAAAAATGTACTGCAGGAGCTATCTTTTGATATGTATTCGAAAATTTCTTTCGCATCTTATTATTTAATGCACAAGATATACAAAATATTATAAACTATTATAAATCATAAAATACATTGTATTTTTTGCAAGTCATCGTTTATTTGTCCAATAAGAGAGAACTAATAAGCGACATTATTTTCTAAGGTTAAATTAATTAAGAAGATATCTCGCTAGAAATTTGGATATTTGGAGAATTCGATTTAAATCGAACTCGATTCAAATCTGAATTAGAAGATTTACGCGAATTGACATTTCTGATATTGCATTATCCCAAACTATTCTCAATGAATAGAAGAAGAGAAATCGATAAAACGGGCATCTTTAAAAATGATAAAATTGGCGTGGCGCCAATTTTCGCGAAATAAACAAATGCTCGATATTCATTAAATTATCGTGATCGAGAGTTTATTAAAAAAATTAATTAGCCTCGACCTATTGCGTCAAAAGTTTGTTAATATTAACGTAATATTCGCGATATAAGCGTTTGGTGCGAATTTACATACGTAAATCCAATTGAGAAAGATCATGAAAAATCATAGGATTACACTTAAGATCCCATCCTGCCGAGCGATACCATCCACTATACTATTATTTTCATCCTGTTGTTTTTTTTTTTCCGAATGTAACGACCCTCGATGACTTTATGTCGCCATACAGATGATACGCGCACTCGGGGCGCCAAGTCACTTTGTCACTCGCGACTAAGGAACAGCGCGACTTTAGTATCCTTGTTCCATTAAACGACGTTATTACACAACTCCGGCATCTTTATTGCATTAAACGACATCATTACAACTACCGTCCGGTAGTTTATACGCTCTCATCTTTATTGACGCGGCGTTTATGCCGGTATTAACGCGAAATGACCGCAATTAAAATCCACGCGCGCGGTCCACGGATCGGCCGCCTTTGACACTCCCGCTTTTGACTCTCCCCCCGAGACTCAAGGCGACTCGATCGCGATTCGCGCGCCCCTTCATCCCCGTGTTTCATCCCCGACGACGCGTCCTAAGCGAGCGAGAAAAAAAAGTCCGGGGGGCGGGTACTGACCGGACTTGACGGAGCAATGGATGTGCGACCTGGACTCGTAGTAGACCCAGTCGAAGCCAGCCTCGACCGCGAGTCTCGCGAGCATCCCGTACTTGGCGCGATCGCGATCGCTCGTCGTCACATCGACCGCTCGTCCCTCGTAGTGCAGGGAGTCCGACGCGTGCATGCCATCCTCATCCCAGGCCTCGGTCACCCGCAGCTTTATCCCGGGCCATTGGTTCATCACCGAGATCGCCAGAGTGTTGAGCTTCTCCTTGCATCTCTGTAACACAGCGCGCAGCGCCAGTGAATTAGCGACGGAATCGAATTTAATTGTTAAGGGAGGGCGTGAGAGGCAAAAATTAACAGATTTTTCCAGACGTGTATATATATATACGCGACTTAGTTAATCTTGAAAGTTTCACAACGAGAACTTTTTAGATGTTACAAGCTCGCAAAGTTGCGGGCTCTAGTATTACGTTGTATTTTTAGGATTTTTAAATAGGATTGACCTAATTGCATTTACATCTCTCCCTTTAAGTTTACTTTAGAAAGATTATTTTTTTGGCATTATTCTGGATTCCGTTAAGTATATACATTCGGAAATTTAGGATTAAGAGGCTGACCATCGTTTCTCTCTCAACGAAAGACTCCTCGACCTATTTTTCCGGATAGTTTTGTACTTAATACGATTTCCGTCGCATTTGAAAACGTCGCACGGATCGACCCCGCCCGTGGAATTCAGCCGATTTCATGGTTGCGCGTGAAAAAGGGAGGCTTTCCCGTGACCGTAGCGTCCGGCAGAGAGAGAGAGAGAGAGAGAGAGAGAG